CGCTGGGCACGTGGTGGAGTTGAGCCAAGGCCTGCGAGAAGCTCTGCCTGGAGGGGGCACGGGGGGGGGGGCACGCGGGGGGGGGGCACACGGGGGGGGGGGCACACGGGGGGGGGGCACACGGGGGGGGGGGCACACGGGTCACAACCACTCAACAACTCACCCAACCACCCACTCACCGAACCACCCGCTCACCCACCCGCTCACCCACCCACCCACTTACCCAACCACCAACTCACCCACCCACTCACACAACCACCCACCCACCCATCCACTCACCCACCCACCCACACACCCACCCACCCACTCACCCACACACCCACCCACACACCCACTCACCCACCCACTCACCCACCCACCCACTTACCCAACCACCAACTCACCCACCCACCCACCCACCCACACACCCACCCACCCACTCACCCACCCACCCACCCACCTGGAGCTCGGGGTCTGGAAGGAGTCGACGGCGTCTCTCAGGGCACTCACCTCCAGCCGAGCCTGCCAGACACGCGCGGGGAGGGCGGGGGGGAACGTCACTGGGACGTCGGGGGGACGTCGTGGGAACGTCGTGGGAACGTCAGGTGAACCCCAAGTGAATGTCGTGGGAACGTCGTGGGAACGTCAGGTGTGTGCGTAGCGGCGACCTGCAGGGCTCCGTGTGTGCTGAAGCAGGCGACGCACTGCAGCAGGCGCGCCATCTCCTCGGCCACCGCCTCCACCAGGCGGGACACCACGCGGGGAACCAGCTCCTTGGACACCGAAAACGCCTGCACGCACACAGACAAAGGTCCCCCGTGTAGCCTGTGACAGACTGCTGGGGCAAGTGCTGTTAGCGAGCGTCTGTGAAGGCCGGTACGGTGGCACACGAGGGAGTGGGTAGCCAGCACCACGCCCGGCCGCCTTTGTCTCCCGAGCGGAGATGTTTACACACCACACCAAGTACTCATTTGAGGCTGAGTCGACCTAGAGGAGGCCCAGGACCGGTTCAGAAAATCGCCACTGGCGTTGGCCGTGAGCGGGAATCGAACTCAGGCCGCCGGGTTCGTAGCGCAGTGTACTAACCACTACAAAGACAAAGATCCCCATATAGCCTTGACAGACTGTAGGGGCAAGTGCTGTTAGCGAGCACCTATGAAGGCCAGCACTGTGGCACACGAGGGGGTGGGTGGCCAACACCAAACCCGGCTGCCTTTGTCTCCCTAGCAGAGATGTTTACACATCGCACCAAGTACTCATTTGAGGCTGAGTCGACCTAGGGGAGGCCCAGGACCGGTTCAGATAATCGTCACCGGTGTTTGGGAATCGAACCCGGGTCGCTAGGTTCGTAGTGCAGCGTGCTAACTGCTACACTACCGCTCCCCACATACACACACATACACTCACTCACTCGCACTCAACAACAACAACCTCCATTCGCCAATAAGTGGCGGTGACGTCACCACGGCGCTTGTGCCAGGCTATGTGCACGTTAAGGCCACGTGAAGTGTCGAACGTCCGCCGGCAGGAGGTCACGGGGCACACCCAGCAGATGCTACGAGTCGCCTGACCGAGATGACCGAGATGACTGGCTGATGCACCACCTGTGCCCCCTACTGTACCAACTTGCTGTGCTTTAGCCACCCGGCGCTCCGCTCGTTGTTGTGAGCGTCGCTCCTCCGCCCTCCGTTGTTGTTGGAGGGCGACTGCCTCCAACTGCCCAGTAGCGTCCTTCACGATGACCACCACACAACCAGGGCTCGAACTCAGAACACTTTGACGACTCATCTTGAAATAGAGGTCATCGCACGGAACCGCAGATTGCTTGCGCAGGGCACGCCGGGCGGAATGGTGCCTCCTCCTCTAGCGTGCAGCACCAGCGAGCTCCCCACCAGACGCTGTTCTTGGCCTACTCTTCCAAAACTAAAATTTTTTCCGATTTAAACCAAATGTAAGTGCTCTTTCTTACACGATTTTTAATAACTCACTCTGTCTGTTGTTGGCGTTGTTGTTGTTGTTGTCGTTGTTGAATCCTTAAATCTTGTAACTCGATTTAAACCCACTTCCCAATGTGCTATCGACTGCAAACTTGGTATACGTATGTCATACCGATGACAATACAATATTCTATCATTATTTTTTTTAAACATTATTTTTTACATATTATGTTTCGGCTTGGCTCTAATTGGCCACGGTCCCTTACGTTGTGACAAGCTTCGGGGCCACTTCCTGGAGTCGTGGAGTTCTTCCATTACTAGTACGGTACATTTCATTAAAACGTGTTTTTCAAAAAAGTATCGTCATCTTCATCGTCGTGTAGAAATTCATAGCAGCCAAAGGTTCTCATCGCACTTTTCTAGAGACTCAGAGATACAGAGAGACCCATACTCACAGAGACCCACAGAGACCCATACTCATAGAGACCCATACTCACAGAGACCCACAGAGACCTATACTCACAGAGACCCATACTCACAGAGACCCATACTCACAGACACCCACAGAGACCCATACTCACAGAGACCCACAGAGACCCATATTCACAGAGACCCACAGAGACCGATACTCACAGAGACCCACAGAGACCCATACTTAGAGACCCACAGAGACCCATACTCACAGAGAACCACACATACTCACAGATACCCACAGAGACCCATACTCAGAGACCCACAGAGACCCATACTCATAGAGACCTACAGAGACCCTTACTCATAGAGACCCATACTCATAGAGACCCACGGAGACCCATACTCACAGAGACCCACAGAGACCCATATTCACAGAGACCCACAGAGACCCATACTCACAGAGACCCACACATACTCACAGATACCCACAGAGACCCATACTCAGAGACCCACAGAGACCCATACTCATAGAGACCCATAGAGACCCATACTCACAGAGACCCACAGAGACGCATACTCACAGGGACCCACAGAGACCCATACTCATAGAGACCGATACTCATAGAGACCCACAGAGACCCATATTCACAGAGACCCACAGAAACGGATACTCACAGATACCCACAGAGACCCAAACTCAGAGACCCATACTCAGAGACCCACAAAGACCCATACTCACAGAGACCCACACATACTCACAGATACCCACAGAGACCCATACTCATAGAGACCCACAGAGACCCATACTCATTAAGACCGATACTCATAGAGACCCACAGAGACCCATACTCACAGAGACCCACAGAGACCCATATTCACAGAGACCCACAGAGACCCATACTCACAGAGACCCACAGAGACCCATACTCAGAGACCCACAGAGACCCAAACTCACAGAGACCCACAGAGACCCATACTCATAGAGACCCATACTCACAGAGACCCACAGAGATCCATACTCACAGAGACCCATACTCACAGAGACCCATACTCACAGAGACCCATACTCACAGAGAGCCATACTCACAGAGACCCACAGAGAGCCATACTCACAGACACCCACAGAGACCCATACTCACAGAGACCCACAGAGACCCATATTCACAGAGACCCACAGAGACCGATACTCACAGAGACCCACAGAGACCCATACTTAGAGACCCACAGAGACCCATACTCACAGAGAACCACACATACTCACAGATACCCACAGAGACCCATACTCAGAGACCCACAGAGACCCATACTCATAGAGACCTACAGAGACCCTTACTCATAGAGACCCATACTCATAGAGACCCACAGAGACCCATACTCACAGAGACCCACAGAGACCCATATTCACAGAGACCCACAGAGACCCATACTCACAGAGACCCACACATACTCACAGATACCCACAGAGACCCATACTCAGAGACCCACAGAGACCCATACTCATAGAGACCCATAGAGACCCATACTCACAGAGACCCACAGAGACTCATATTCACAGAGACCCACAGAGACCGATACTCACAGAGACCCACACATACTCACAGATACCCACAGAGACCCATACTCATAGAGACCCACAGAGACCCATACTCATAGATATCCACAGAGACCCATACTCACAGAGACCCACAGAGACGCATACTCACAGGGACCCACAGAGACCCATACTCATAGAGACCGACACTCATAGAGACCCACAGAGACCCATATTCACAGAGACCCACAGAGACCGATACTCACAGATACCCACAGAGACCCATACTCAGAGACCCACAGAGACCCATACTCACAGAGACCCACAGAGACCCATACTCATAGATATCCATAGAAACCCATACTCACAAGAGACCCACAGAGACACATACTCACAGGGACCCACAGAGACCCATACTCATAGAGACCCATACTCACAAAGACCCACAGAGACCGATACTCACAGAGACCCACAGAGACCCATACTCAGAGACCCACAAAGACCCATACTCACAGAGACCCACAGAGACCCATACTCAGAGACCCACAGAGACCCATACTCACAGAGACCCACAGAGACCCATACTCACAGAGACCCATACTCACAGAGACCCACAGAGACCCATACTCAGAGACCCACAGAGACCCATACTCAGAGACCCACAGAGACCCATACTCACAGAGACCCACAGAGACCCATACTCACAGAGACCCACAGAGACCCATACTCACAGAGACCCACAGAGACCCATACTCACAGAGACCCACAGAGACCCATACTCACAGAGACCCATACTCACAGAGACCCACAGAGACCCATACTCACAGAGACCCACAGAGACTCATACTCACAGAGACCCACAGAGACCCATATTAATAGATACTCACAGAGACCCACAGAGACCCAGAAAGACCCACCCCATACTAAAAATCAACTATGTTGTATTTGACCAGACAATGCCCCACGGAGCTGCAGTGTTGCTTTCTTTTCAGAAGCGACCTGGTGGCCATCACAAATGATAGCCCAATGAAGAGGCATGTCATCATCATCATCGTCATCATCGTCATCGTCATCATCGTCATCATCATCGTCATCATCGTCATCATCATAGTCATCATCATCGTCATCATCATCGTCATCATCATCGTCATCATCATCATCATCGTCATCATCATCGTCGTCATCATCGTCATCATCATCATCGTCATCATCATCATAGTCATCATCATCATAGTCATCATCGTCATCGTCATCATCATCGTCGTCATCGTCATCATCATCATCATCGTCATCATCATCATAGTCGTCGTCATCGTCATCGTCATCATCGTCATCGTCATCATCATCATCATCGTCATCATCATCATCATAGTCGTCGTCATCGTCAAGTGGAGATTTATAGCAGCAGCGAAATACTCTGAACGCGTGGTGACGTCGATTCGACTGCAAATGCAGAGTGGGGGGGGGGGGGGGGGGGAAACCGGAGGACCCAGAGGAACATCCACGCGACCACCACGGGGAGAGAGAAAGACGCAAACTCCTAATATACAGCAGCAGGCATCGTCAGGGTCGTGGTCGAACCCACGACCTCCTGCAGACCAGGCGAGGTGGTTAACATCTCCTAGCCACCGTGATGATGAGAGACACGCAGACTTCAAATATACAGCAGGAGTCAGGGTCGGGATTGAACCCACGACCTCCTGCATACCAGGCGAGGTAGTTAACATCTTCTAGCCACCGTGATGATGATGAGAGACACGCAGACTCCAAATATACAGCAGGAGTCAGGGTCGGGATTGAACCCACGACCTCCTGTATACCAGGCGAGGTAGTTAACATCTCCTCGCCACCGTGATTATGAGAGACACGCAGACTCCAAATATACAGCAGGAGTCAGGGTCGGGATTGAACCCACGACCTCCTGTGTACCGGGCGAGGTAGTCAACATCTCCTAGCCACCGTGATGATGATGAGAGACACGCAGACTCCAAATATACAGCAGCAGGCGTCAGGGTCGGGATTGAACCCACGACCTCCTGCGTACCAGGCGAGGTAGTTAACATCTCCTAGTCACCGTGATGATGAGAGACACGCAGACTCCAAATATACAGCAGCAGGCGTCAGGGTCGGGATTGAACCCACGACCTCCTGTGTACCAGGCGAGGTAGTCAACATCTCCTAGCCACCGTGATGATGATGAGAGACACGCAGACTCCAAATAAACAGCAGCAGGCGTCAGGGTCGGGATTGAACCCACGACCTCCTGTACACAAGGCGAGGTAGTTAACATCTCCTCGCCACCGTGATGATGAGAGACACGCAGACTCCAAATACACAGCAGGCGTCAGGGTCGGGATTGAACCCACGGCCTCCTGTACACCAGGCGAGGTAGTCAACATCTCCTAGCCACCGTGATGATGATGAGAGACACGCAGACTCCAAATATACAGCAGCAGGAGTCAGGGTCGGGA